ATGAGAGAGATTGACATTGTCACTCCCTACACGCCTGTGGATTACAGACACCTGAAGTAGAACCTCACCGCTGATGTGTGTGTTTCTGTGTCCGTGTGTGCAGTACCTGGTGGACTGTGATGATGTCATCTTCATGAGGGATGGAAGCATCACGGAGCAAGGCAGCCATGAGGACCTGATGCGTCTGAATGGAGACTACGCTGCCATGTTCAACAACCTGCAGCTGGGAGAGGCTCCCTTCGTGGAGGTGAGGGACAGGACAGCATCGAGGGGGGTGTGAATGTTATGGCACCGCGCGTGTGTGAAACCTTGTCACTACTCTTGTTTTCTTGTTTTCTCTCAGGTGACTAACAAGAACACTGGAAACTCTCTGAAGAAACCTCCAGAGAAGACCAAGGCTGGATCCATTAAAAAGGACAAGCCTGCCAGCAAGGATGATGGTAGGTTTGTGTGTGTATGTGTGTATGTATGTGTGTGTGTGCATGTGTGTGTGTGTGTGTGTGTGTGTGTGTGTGTGTGTGTGTGTGTGTGTGTGTGTGTGTGTGTGTGTGTGTGTGTGTGTGTGTGTGTGTGTGTGTGTGTGTGTGTGTGAGTGTGATTTGTTTTGCTCTGTAGGGTCTTTTCTGTGTGTACTGTATGTAGTCATTTCACCACCATTCCACATGATTATAGCCGTACCTTCTCTTCCCCCAGGTCAGCTGATGCAGGTGGAGGAGCGTGGGCGGGGCTCTGTCCCCTGGTCAGTGTATGGGGTGTATATCCAGGCATCGGGCGGGGTGACAGTCTTCCTCCTCATCTTGGCACTGTTCATCCTCAATGTGGGCAGCACTGCCTTCAGCAACTGGTGGCTCAGCTACTGGATCAAGGAGGGCAGCGGGGTGAGTGAGGAGGCGTGGGCTAGAAGAGGGTGGAGAAAGCTGATGTCAGCGAGAGGGGGTGGGGGGATGAGTGAACGTGGCAGCGGGGCGGTGTAAGTGGAAAGTATTTTAGTGTATATTCTTAAAAGCTTGCATGCTCATGGCAATGTTTGAGCAGTAGGCCCCCCACCCCCAACACACATGCACACACACACACACACACACACACACACACATGCACACACACACACACACACACTGGGTAAGGGTGGGAAGTAAATAAGGTGTAAGGTTAGAAGACCAAGGTGGTAAATATTTGATGTGAAAGAGCTGATGAGGGTGCAGAGGAGGGGGTAACTTACACAGAATCAGTCATAAAACAAGCTGTAAGATTAGAAGGCACGCAGTGTACTGACAATAACAGCAACCAACAGGGCAGAAATGGAAGTGAAACAGGTGAACGTTTAAACCTAGAATGTGACATACACAGCTCTATTGATGCCACATATTATGCTGTAACAGTTCAGAGCTCACTCTTCCACAGTTTCCAGATGGTCTCTTGTCTTGTACGCACAAATGCGTATTCGTCAGACTGAATGTAGCTTTTCATGGCCCTCAGCTCCTTAATACAACATCTTACATGTTAACTGTGGATACAGTCCTTGGTTTATCTTACTCCTGCTCAGAGCAAGTATGAAAGACAGCTGTTAATATGGCCTCGTTTTTAAGATGACTCTTGTTACAACTGTTTTCAGGAGTACAGGATTACATAGAAGGTAGCAAGCGCAATACTGCTAACACATGTGGGTATGTGGTTATGAATACAGCCACATAATACTGTATTCAACCCGAAAGTGGCTGCTGTGAAAAGGTTCAGAATGCGGAACATTGGCCAGTCTGGAGGGGTGTGTCATGTGACAGAGTATCATAAATGACCTAATGCTTAGTAGTGAATGGTGATAAATGGGGTTTGGTGGAATATCTTACATGCCCTGGGGTGGTTTCAGAGGGGTGTTTGCTGGGGAGATGCTGCACAAGGATTCTTTTTTCCAGTGTCCCTGATAGAAAAACAAGCAGTGTTAGCTGCCCCAGCTCCTGTGTCCTCTCACATGTCTGTGATATTTCTCAGAATACCAGTCCGGTAGCATGGTAGTGTGGCACGGGACTCGTGTGGGATGTGTGGGGCACACGTGGGACACGTGTTAATGCTTTCCTAGGAATGATGTGGTCGTGGGGTGAAAGTTGGGTCTCTACCAGTGCTGATGATGTGGCTTGCTCTCTGTTGCCCCCTGCCTGCAGAACACCACAGTGCAGGTGGGGAACAGCTCCGTGGTGAGCGAAAGCATGCGGGACAACCCCCTGATGCAGCACTATGCCGCTGTCTATGCACTGTCTATGGGAATCATGCTGCTGTTCAAACTGCTGCGTGGCATCGCCTTTGTCAAGGTACTCGCCACATGCCTGTGTGTGTGTGTGTGTGTGTGTGTGTGTGTGTAAGTGTTTGTGTTTGTGTATGTGTGTGTATGTGTCTGTGTCACATTTTTTCAAGTTTGTTTTCACCAGTAGACCACTGTAAGAACAGCTTTTCCAGGTCTAATAGAGTTCAGGGATTTAGTTGTCTAAAACTGAGGCTTACATGCCAGCTAAGGTTGTTCAACTGGCTTTTCTGTGTCTGTACATCTTTGTATACAGTTTACAGACAGTATGTACATCTCTTAGTGTTGTGTTTTACTTACGTTTATGCAGGACTACATTTGTGCGTGTGTGTGTGTGAGTGAGAGACTTTGTTGTGTCTGTGTGAGTAGCGTTTTGTGTGCGTATGTGTGTCTGTGCATGTAAGTGCGTGTGTGTTTAACTCTGTTTTTCATCAGGGAACACTGCGGGCCTCATCTCGTCTCCATGAGGAGCTTTTCCGTAAGATTCTGCGCAGCCCCATGAAGTTCTTCGACACCACACCCACCGGCCGCATCCTAAACCGATTCTCCAAGGACATGGATGAAGGTAAGGGCAGATCAGGGTACATGCCGGCGCATCACTGCTAACACAGCCTTTCCCACAGTGTAAAACTGTTTTTGGATAATCACATTTTCGCATTTTTGACACTCAGTATAGTATGCTCCATAATGTAATCCCTGTCTCCCTTTCCCCCCCAGTGGACACACGGCTGCCTTTCCAAGCGGAGATGTTCATCCAGAATGTGATTCTGGTCTTCTTCTGCCTGGGCGTGATCAGCTGTGTGTTCCCGTGGTTCCTGGTGGCGGTGGGGCCCCTGGTGCTGCTCTTCATCCTGCTGCATGTGGTGTCACGCGTCTTCATCCGCGAGCTCAAGCGCCTGGACAACGTCACGCAGTCGCCTTTCCTGTCGCACATCACCTCCAGCATCCAGGGCCTCACCACCATCCACGCCTACAGCAAGGGGGACGAGTTCCTCTACAGGTACGTCCCCAGCCACCAATCAGAGCAGAGGATGCCCGTCCACCAGTCATGCACCACTACTGGAGTTCCCCATATGAAAACTCACAGTCAGGCAAAATATGCAACATAAAATTAAGCTGTCCACCAGAGCAGAATATACCTTTGGTTTCTCTTCATCACTACTTTGACCCTCACACTTCTTCAGCTACTCACCTGGCCTACCAGTCATCATCTACCATGTGAGGGAACTCGGGAAGTAAAAGTAAAGGTTTCTAATAGCGATTTAGCTGTTAAACAGACTTGCAGAATCAAGACTTCAAATGTGGTCGAAGCCCTGCGTTCGTGGTGCATTTCTGTTGGTTCAGATCTGTAAGAAAGGAACCTGCATTTAACCAGCCCCTTCCCGTCCCACTTTTCCAGGTACCAGGAGCTGCTGGATCAGAACCAGGCGCCGTTCTACCTGTTCAGCTGCGCGATGCGCTGGCTGGCGGTCCGTCTGGACGTGATCAGCGTGGCTCTGATCAGCATCACGGCGCTGATGACCGTCCTGATGCACGGCCAGATCCCGCCCGCCTACGCCGGACTCGCCATCTCCTACGCTGTGCAGGTCAGTACCGCCGCTCTCATTGTACTGTACGTTATTAATGAGGACATGGAAAACAACGCGCCCTTCTCTTCTGTGTCCTCTCCTCACCTTCCTCCCTCCCTCTCCCTCTGCCCTCTCCTGTCTGCTCTCAGCGCTCAGTCTCTTTGATCTCTTTGAAGAGATCTGGAGGGTTGAGGTCAGACCTCTCTATAGTAGAGGAGAGTTTTCTGTTTCATGTGTAAAATGTCTCGCCAGTTGAGCTGTGGAGGCTAGAGGAGTTCTAAACGTACTGTTTGACATGAATCAAAAGCATTAGCATTAATTACATTGATTCTCTGCTAATTTCTGATTCCATTTTCAAATAATGATTGAGGCGTGACCAACCCTCCCCCCATCCCCTACTCTGTGTGTCCTTCTTGTTTAGCTCACTGGGTTGTTCCAGTTCACTGTGCGTCTGGCGTCTGAAACAGAGGCACGCTTCACCTCCGTGGAGAGGATTCATCATTACATCCAGGTACCTGCTTCTCCCTTCCCGCTCCACAATATTTAGAGATTTGAGAGGGAGCAAAATGTTAAGAATATCATGCATGGCTTCATTGAGCTCTTACATCCCGCCCCCAGTCTCTGGCCCTGGAGGCTCCAGCCAGAATCAAGAACAAGGCCCCACCTCCAGACTGGCCCCAGGAAGGCGAGGTGATGTTCGACGCAACGGAGATGAAGTACAGGGAGAACCTGCCTCTGGTTCTGAAGAAAGTGTCCTGCACAATCCGGCCCAAGGAGAAGGTCGGCATTGTAGGCCGCACCGGCTCAGGTTAGCAGAGCGGACCCGCCGTCGCTCACCTTTGCCCGGCCTTATACCATCTCACCGGCTTCCCCTCACATTCACCCGAAATTACCCACGATCACCAAAACCCACCCGCTCACTGCCTCACTCCCACTCACGCCTGTGCAGACTTCCCCAGACTCACTCACTCTTACCCTGTACTCACGCTACATTACATTACATTATTGTCATTTAGCAGAAGCTCTTACCCAGAGTGATTTACATAGGTTACAATTTTTACATGTTATCCATTTATAAGCCGGATGTTTACTGAGGCAATCCTGGCTTAAGTACCCTCCCCAAGGGTACAGCAGCAGTGCCCCAGCGGGGGATCGAACCAGCAACCTTTTGGTTATGAGCCTTGCTCCTCACCACTATGCTACACTGGTATGCTCACCTTGTTTTTCTCATTCTCGCCTCTCACTCATCCTGTTTGCACCTGTATGTGTACGCCCTGCTGACGGCTGTGCCTGTCTTTCAGGGAAGTCTTCTCTGGGCGTGGTGCTGTTTCGCCTCGTCGAGCCCTGTGGCGGTTCCATCAAGATCGACGGCATCAACATCTGTGACATAGGCCTGGCTGACCTGCGCAGCAAGCTGTCAATCATCCCACAGGAACCAGTGCTGTTCAGCGGCACCGTCAGGTGGGCGCGATCTTCTTCCCACATACAGTTCGTTCGCCGATACAGGATGCAGATGTGCAGTTTGGGTTTGACCTGGTCTCACTCCCACTGCAGGTCCAACCTGGACCCCTTCAACCAGTACACCGAGGAGCGCATTTGGGATGCCTTGGAACGGACCCACATGAAGGAGTGTGTGAGTGTCAGCATATGGAGAAGAAGGGACAGATGAGGAAGAAATTAAAAGGAAGAATGGTGCAGACTAGTGGTCAAGGAACTGGACCTTAAGGTTCAAATCTTGGGAGGGTTTACTGCTTCTGTGCCCTTGAGCAAGGACCTTACCCCAAATTGCTTTAGTAAATATCCAGCTGTATAAATGAATAAGTCTCTCAAGTAATATTATTACTGTAAAGACATATGACTTCCTAAGGCACTTGTCCTGAGTGCATTGATGATTCAAATGAGTGGTAAATGGAAAGCAAAGATATATTTTTTTCCATTTTGGGGAAGTTGAGTCACAGGGTAAACTGATCCAGTCCTTGGAGAGACAGAGGTTGTGAGCTATAATAGGGTCACCCTAGCGGCAAGTTTACATAGCGTAACTGTTTCAGCAGTCTTTGTGTGCGGATCTTGATTCCCCTTGTCACTCTCTGTGTCACCCCAGATTTCCCAGCTGCCTCTGAAGCTGGAATCAGAGGTGGTGGAGAACGGGGAGAACTTCTCAGTGGGAGAGCGACAGCTGCTGTGTGTGGCCCGGGCACTGCTGAGGCAGTGCAAGGTGAGATACCTTCACCCTACCGCCCTCACCATAGGTACAGTGTAACTACACTGCAGTAGCATTTCCTGTCTTGTCCAAAAAAGCTGCCTGTATGAATGAACACATTGGGAACAGTGAATTTAGATTTACTGTTAATGAAGACTTCATGGTTACGTCATTATGATTCTCTGTCTGTGGTAGCATCCCTCAGATCTCATTTTTACACTGTGTAGCGGTAGAATGCAGAGAGGCCAGTTGTTACAGCTGCCCTGTCACTCTCTTGTAACCTCTTGGTGAGCGTGTGAACCTTGTTTCTGCTTTCCTGATCCAGGTCCTGATCCTGGATGAGGCCACAGCTGCCATGGACACAGAGACAGACCTGCTGATCCAGGAGACAATCCGCAACGCCTTCCAGGACTGCACCACCCTGACCATCGCACACCGGCTGCACACCGTGCTGAACTGCGACCGCATCATGGTGCTCAACCAGGGACAGGTACACTAGTGCACAGCTACAGAAGTACAATAAATCCGGAACAGAGACACCCCCTACAGACGTGTACAAACACACTTAATGAGGAAGGAGTAAACCTGTCTGTGTACATCTCTGACTTTTTGAACCTCAGTTATTTCATCTATGCCTTGTTGCTATGTGTCCTGTTCCATCCGTTGCCCTCTCTCACTTAGGTGGTGGAGTTCGACGAGCCGTCCAAACTGCTGGCCAACGAGAACTCTCGATTCGGTGCCATGCTGGCAGCTGTGGAGAACAAGATATCCGTGAGGGGCTAAAAAGGAGCGTGGGGGAACGTGTGCAAAGCAGCACCACGCCCTGGAGAGGGGGGAGAGGAAACCCCAGGCAGACGCTGTCCCACCCTGCTTGGTCCCGGCCACAGCCTCCCCTCCTGCAGTCCTGCAGATCACCCTGCCGCCTGCTGGGGGCGCTGTGTCGGCCTCTGCTAGGACAGGGGCCTGAGCACACGCCCAGGGCTCTCCTGGGGAGAAGACTGCTCAGAAATCACTCTCTGCTTAAATGGTCAGGGAACCACTGATACTGTAACAATGTTTTAAGTAATATTAAAAAAAAGCTTTACACGTGTAGCTATATTCATTTAAGAAGGTTTGTTTTATAGAATATATATCCACGTATGTATATACATGTATACATATATTTACAGTGGAAAGGATGTACGCTAAGCTTATTTTGTACTGACTTTGTTTGTACAACATCAGTGTAATGACATGTATTATGTATTTTCACTTGTGTGTTGCTCTGTCACCATAGTCTGACCTCCAAGTGTTTAGCAATTTAGCAGTCTTCAGATCTCCGTATTGCTGTTGTCATGTGATTCAAGCTCTGGTCCTAACCTGGTCTAATTGGTTTGCACACCCATAAGGTGTGACGTGGGTCAGGTTAGGCCTGCACAGAGAGGGAGCCTCACTGAGTATTGACCAGTACTGTATCTTCTTGATGTTTCTGTTGCTCCACGCTCTGATGCAACTGACTTCCCCCTGACAGTCTTACCCCAGATAAGAGGCCTTGTCTACAGCCTGTTTCCTTCAGCTTTGTTTGTTACTCCCATTAGTTGTCTTAAGATAGTGTTTTTACTTTCTGTTGAAAGGTGTTTTTTTTTTTTTTGCCACTCAGCCCTTGCACAGGGTGGCGCTGTAGCTGCTCAGCACCTCCCTCTGCTGGTGGGAGTGCCTGTGACTGTCACTAGCTGTCTGTCCTCAAGCAGGGAAGGACAGCTTGTATATTGAACTGCAAAAGGAGGAAGGAGCTGTGTGTGCGTGCGTGTGTGTGCTTGTGCGTGTGTGTGTGTGTGTATAATATCCGAACCACACAGATGGGAACTCCAGTACTTGGTGTGGGTTCTGTCCATGCCCTGTGGTACTGGTAGGGCCCAAATTGGTACTGTAATGGCAATGGCTTTCCAGCAGGCCTTGCAGAATGTGTCTGCCTGTATGTTATTTCTATTACTTTTTATAGCCTTAGCATGACTTAATTATTGCCTTTTGAGGGGGGGAGGGAGAAGAAATCTCTGAAATATGTTAATAAAACTATTTTAGGTTTATCCATAGTGTATATGTGTATTTTTGATTCAGATGTGGCTGTTGGCAGAGATGGTACAGGTGAGAAAGTATAAAAGAATAACACAGTCTTCCATCTTCCTTATGTGATGCACCCATGTCACACACACAGAACTCTGCTCTGACAGAGCTTTTCAGTACAGTACAATGATTACTCAAAGCACTCGAGTCAAGGCCTTTCTGTGGTTTATTTTTAGTTCGACAAACACCTGGTGTATTGAACTCTTATTAGTATAGATCTTGCATGTGACATGTGTGAGCCAGCCACAGGAACGCATTTAACGCTGAATTTAAAACAAAAATGCCCGTGCACTGTGACTTGCGGACTCGTGATCAGACAGCACCACATCCCGTGCACTGGTCGGCTGTCTTGTGATAGCCACTTTGCTGTCAATCACTGACCTAAAAACGAAGAAGTGGGAATCAGAGAATTGTGGTTCAAAATGCGCATGCAACACGGTAGTGGATAAACAGAGACATCTAGTGGCTGAAAGAATCACTGCACATGTGACAGCCAACTAGGCACAGCTGCGGCTCAGCATCGTACCCACAGCTCCCCGGCACGGAGTACACTCCGCCCCCTACGCAAACGCCCCGCACTCTGCCAGCCAAGGACACCAGTATCTCCTGGGCGACGAGGAAACAACTGCGAATAAAGGTCACATATTGTATAACACACTCTCCGAGGACGGCGCTTACCGGGCACGCAAAGGGATACTGGTCAGGATATAAAGTATCACATTTACACGTTGGGATACTTTCCCCCCTTCCTCCATTCGTAGTGTCAAACTTCTCGGTGCAACAAATTTGAAACGTAACGCTGCCTTGTGTAACGTTATTTACCGGGGGGATGGGTTTCATGCAAATTAATGGAGCCTTTTACTGACAGATCTTAGTTTGAAGTTTTTTTTGCACCAGGACAATCGCTGAATTTAAATCGTTGATGTACAATAAACTCAGTGGCTGCCGAACAGAGACCAACCTCCCCTGGGTCGCCTCTGTAGCGCCCCCCTACAGCCCGAAAACTTTCCTCTCTCGAAGTGATTTCCTCCCCTGTTTTTACTTCCTGTTTTCAACGGGAGTCACTTAGCTCAGCTCCTTTCATTTCAACTTTTGCTCCTCTTCGCCGTGCTCTGCTTTTTCTTTTTTATTAATCCTCATCTGCTTTCGCTTCTTTTTTTCCATCAAGTTGCTCGAGCGCAATCTCTCCGTCTCTTCTCTCGATTTTTTTGCGGATTGAAGAAAATGTTGGACTCAGTTTTAACTTCGGCCCAGATGGATTTTACGTAGATACTATTTTGTTTTGTTTTTAAATTATTCTTCACATTCTTTGTGACAATTAGTAAGATCTATATTTTCCTCTACTATCTGCTTGGCTAATTGTCCACATTCGACCCCCCACAGCAACATAGTACAAAACTAGCGAGCTAGGAAGCTACCTCTCCTTTGCCGACTCTCGGTTTGCACAGTTTTTCAGTTTGTAAATACATTTTATTACCGTTGTTACTTTTCACTTTTTTAATTTATTTCTTTCTGAAAGTTGTTATGGCTGACTTCCAGCGTCCGACGCTGTGCTGCTGCCGGAAGGTGCTGACGGTGCCCAGCAAGTCGTGCGAGGGCGGCCGGGGAATGGGACACTGTCACCGGGTCGACATAGCCTCAGCGTCCAACTTCCACAGCTTTAAGCTCCGTCATTTCCACCTCGACCTCCGCCTCAATTTCGCTCTAAAGGAAATGACGGGTTGGCAGGTTCTAGAACTGGTGCCGGTCCAGCCAGGGGTGCAGACTCTGGTTCTGGACACACACCCGTCCCTGCTGATCCACTCCATAGACTGCAAGGTGCCCGGAACTGCCGGCGCCCCGGACACTTCTCTTTCGCTCACCTACCGGGTGGACCCTTTCACCGATTATGGCTCCTCGCTTAACA